TTGTGAACCCAGCATCACATCTGTTTTGAATTTAACCTCTGTTCTTACCTGAGGATCATCAGGTAATCAAGTACTTCATGAGCATTAATTAGTGAAGATTCATGATCTCCTGGGAGGCAAATAAAGATTATAATTTTCATATCCAGGCACAATGAGGTATGAAAAGAGGTGATAATTTGTAAGCAGTCTCTCAGGGTATCAGTAATGGAGCCACAAAACTAATTTTGGGCTAAGTAATTCCAAACGGAAATGCTTCTGCTTAGACTGCAGTCACAGTTCTAAATCTGAATGTTCTTGAGAGCTTAACTGACTTGCAAGAAAAGATGGCTAGACCAGTGATGGAGAGTTAAGATTTCTGACAGCTTTTTATCTGCTATATGATCACAAAGTTATTTTCTCTTTCACCTTAAGTGTTACACCTGCCCCAGCTGCACCAAAACTTTTGCCTCATGAGGTGCTTTGAAGAAGCAGTGTTGCGGGCTACTAAGTGATGTATGTATGCCTCCTTTTCTGTTCTAGACCAGCTGTAATTTATTTCTGACATCTCAGAGTTGGAAAATTCTGTCAGCTGTGCATGTCAATTCCTGTTCTGTTATTTGTATCCAGCTGCAGAATGATACAGCTTTTTATTTTCTTGGGAAAGTTTATTTTTGTTTGACACTGTTGAAATGACCTCATTCTCTCTCTCTCTTGCACTTGCATATTCAGGCAGCTGAGATTCTTCATGATTGTACTGCTACTTTAGCTTTAGGTTAGCTTATTTCGGTGGATTGTTTGTTTTTGTGATTTTTTTTTTGTTTTAATCAGAGTTAAGTGTAGATTTGCAGTCCAGTATATCCCTCAAAGAGCAGGTTTGAGTTGGAAAAATCACGAGGTTAATTTATCACAACTTTGGTTCTTGCAAATGAAGACCAACCAGTCTTCTGCATAGTGACTGGGCTTTCTAGTTTGAAGCAAAGTGAATTGTCTGAACGTAACGAAGAAATCTAGGTTGTAACTAGCCAATTATCCTGTCATTATACAGGAAAGAGGCAAGGAGAGTCCAAAGTATGTCTTGTGCAATTGTGACATATGTCAGTGAAACCTAGTCACATCTAGACTCGCTTGAGTTCAGAGTCTTGTGTTTATCTTCCATTAATTCAGATTCTAAAACTACTTAGCTCTCTTACATACATCACTCTGCACTTTTGCAATCCAGCACACAGTTGGGGGGGTAACTTCCAACAGGGTATCAGGTGTCATGCAAATAAAAGTTCTCAGTAGTAAATGAGGCTAAAAAAGAATCAGGGGCTCAGAAGCGAATTGGTAAGACTTCTTGTATGCCAGGCTTGTATGTATCCTTCTGGTTTTCTGACAAGTGAAGCAGACTAGATTTACAGCCCGCAGATCTTCTAGATAATTGAAAACATACTGGTCTGCCTGCAAGAACTAGACTAACTTGTGTGCCTAGTAAGACAGCTCATCTGTTTTTAAAAAAAAAAAACAAAAAAAACTAGAGAGGCTCTTCTGGTTTTGGAGTTGAATCTAAGTAAAGCCACACCCTTCAGGTCTATAGCTTTCATAGCTCTGGTTTGGTTTTATTTTATGGGAGTGGATTATCCTGTCTAGACTCCTGCTTTAATTTGGAAGCCAAAATAGAAGCAATAAAGCTAGTTGGCTGCGTAGTGGGTGACAAACCTCCTCTCCAGTCCTCTAATTTGTTAGGGCTTTTTTCTTCCCTATGCTCCCTCTTCTGACTGTTCCATGATACCTCAAGTAAATTTTGCAAGTTGCAGATATGTTGCTGCTAAATTTAGAACACCAGATTCTTTAAATAAGTCTGAGCTGAGCTATCGGTTACACAGAGATCTGTTTCAGTCAGGCACATCCCTCTAGGGAGAGACTTGAACTATTTAAAGTTGAATGAGACTGAGATTCTTGCAGTATTAAGAAACTTGGAATTTCCCCTTTTTCTCCTTAATGTTAATTCTAAAGTAGTGTTCAAAGCTTGCTGTTCCCTATGACTGAATTTTTTTTTCCTCTTGAACTGTAACTCTGGAAATTGACTTTGTTTTGAGCTATTGTTTCTTGTATTTTAATTATTTCTCCTTTAGTGTGCATCAAGAGGCAAAATACAGCCTTAGTGTAAGCAGATGCTAACGTCTCACGTAACATGTGTTACTCTCACCAATCTAAATTTAAGCTGTTATAGGAAAAATAATTGTGTTCAATTCACAACTCTTCGGTAGGCTGCAAATGGAGGAGTGCAATTGCAGTAGAATGGATTGGATTGTATTTGGTCCTACAAAAAGCAGGTTTTTCTGGCAAGTGCCTGAAGAATTTTAGGGCACCACATTCAAGAGCAGGAGTGTTAATGCTGGTGTTCTGGGCATGCATCCAGTTTTAGTAACTACTACGTGTCACCTCACTAAATTCCCACTTCAATTCTGATTTCATGGATCCCTCTTCACTTTCACTCTTGCATAGCTGGGCAGTGTTGCTGTGCACTTTTAAAAAACAGCTGCCTTATGCACCAGAAACAGGTTCACTTCAGTAGTGAAGTCTGAGTACATTTTTCTTAGTTACTGAGCCACCAGTATCTTGCAGCTGTGAAAAAAGCTAATGTAGTGCTAGGATATGTCAGGAAAGATATTTCCAGTAGAGACAGGAAAAAGTTACTGCCATTGTACAAGGCAGTAGAATATAGCTGAGGTGTTGCGAACGGTTCTGCACAATGATGTTTGAGGAAAATCAGCTTAAATCTGAAGGGATGCAGAGAAGAGCTTGTATGACAGTAGCAGAATCAAGAGTCCATCTTATAGAAGGTGACTAAGAGCTTGGCATTAGAAGGAGGACAGGTGAATGAGGGTGTTGTAGCTCTCTGAAAAGACATAGACTGGAGAATAGGGTATATTGGTGCTCGCCAACTACTGAAGCTAATGTACAAAGAGAGGATATGGGTAGAAATTGAATACGTTTAGGATGGAAATCAGAAGAAAGCTTAACTATGAGAAAAATATTGGCTTGGGAACAGCCTTGAAATAGAAGAAATCTAAGAAGCTAGTACAGAGTACCATAGTACTGAAAGGGCCTGATATAATGAGCCATGTTCCTCCATATTAAAAGCAATTGCATGGGAGAAACATGGGTGGCTGACTTGGTCAAGAAGCTTTGACACCTGAAATGAGTGAGTACAGTTGACTGTTGCTTCCTCATGGGGGGCTATTTGAGATGTCAAATGCCAGTACTAAGTGTACATCTTCTTAAAACTGTATTGGAATAATAGAATAAAACAACCTGTTAAGGTAAGGGCGTGTCCCCTCTGAGTGCATCAGGCTCTTTACTCATGTTTGTATGCTCTCTCATTTGCTAATTTGAGCTCGTGATTTACATTTCTGTAAATATATTTCTGACACAACCTATACTGAGTTGGAATACACAGGGCTGACCTAATCAGACTTTGACTTGTATAGTAAATATATGTTACTGTTTTGGCTGAGAGGTAACTTGAGGAAATACATATACTTTAAACTAGCATTTATATTTTTTAAAACAATACAAAAGTTGTTGCTATTAGTCCAGTGAAAAGAAAGGAATGGCTGTTTTGTGATCGTTGTTATAGGTGTTATATTTGCTTTGTCCTGGATCTTTTGAGGCTGGGACAGCTTTCAGTCCTTAGGCTCAAAGAAGGAATACTCACTCTGCACCTTTTCCCATAAATGATAAAGTGGAGCACAAAATCATCTAGGCACTGACTGATCCCTCTGCTCCTTTTGCACAGTACTTCCAGAAGCAGCTTAAATTGGGGTAGGTTGACACTGCTCAAGAAGCAGTGCTGCCTCTGACAATTTTTTCTCTTCCTTACCCTGGCAGAAGACCTTGTGGTGAACCCAATCAGGGGACTGATGTGGGTTAAAACAAAACTTTTTTTGGGGGGGGGCTAAGTTAGTTTTAATTGGGGTTGGTTCACCACATCATTGCACAAACCTTTGTGCCAGCAAGAGGGTGGAAATGAGTAGCTCAAGGACAGAAAGACTGCTTCTTTCAGCAGCAGTGCCAACTTTCCGTTGTTTTTAATTTGAGGGGCTAGTGGCACTTTTACTGCCCTGTCCTCGGGCAAACTGAAGTCTCATGATGCTGTTCTTTCTTTCCATGTGTTCATTTAGTTTACTCATTAATTTTTTGTGTCTGTAATAGATGTGGTGCTGATTTAATCAACTAGAGCTATACATTAAAATAACTTATGGTTTGAGTATATACTATTTAAACAGGCATATTTAGCATATTGATTTATGGTTCCTGTGGTGGTTCTCACACACTTTTTAACATGATCCTCCAGGATCAGTTCCTGGCCCAGCTGCAATCCTTGAGATAGGAGGAAACGGCTAGTAAAAGCACAGGATGCAGGCAGAAAGAGATAGCATGAGGAGCAGTAAGTGTAGCAAGTGGTGAGAGATAGAGGCAGGGTGCCCAGGAGCTCTAGGAAGCAGTTCCAGTAGTAGGTGGCTGAAAGATGCTATTGACCTATTTTTCTGGTGTGATGCCAGATTGAGAGGTGATGCTCTGGCTCAGCAGCTCTGAGAAGCTGTAGACTCTGCTTCTGTGGCTTAGGAACTGTCTTGGTGAAGGTTCATCTTCTTGCCCTGTCCCTTTTCTCAGCTATCTCCTCCTGGTGGCCCCTGATAATGTCTCCTCCTTCTCTTCTCCTTTCATCAAAATATTTCAGTGCCCAGCCCACTGCTTAATCAGTGACTACCTAGTTTTAATGTACATACTTGAAAGTGCACAGAACCTGACAATTGTTTGTGTCAGAGATTTTTTACAAAAGTGCAAAGAGGGGCTTGGGTCTGTAACAACTTTACCATGGGTTCATTGTAGGAGTTCGCGGTAGCAGTGAAGCTTCAGTGTTTCTGATGTGCTGAAGCTTGGATCTACTGATATGAAAAAGGTTTCTCAGTGCCACCAAGGTTAGTGTACTATTAAATCTTTTGGACAGGAGGGGTGGGCTTTTAAGGAACTGAGTGTGAATATGAGGTTTCTCTTCCCTTACTGACTTCCTACTCTGCAGCTAATCTCATCTAACTGGGAAGCTGGGTCCTGCTCCCTTGGGTGTCCACTCTGATGCAGACTGCAGCGAAGGAGGCTGCTGGCACTTCTCTTCACTCCTACTATGGGGTTATTAAGGGGCTCTACTCCAGCACAGTTCTCTTCTAGGCACGAATATACCCAGGAAACCCACGTGCCTCAGTTTTGTTCCTGTCCTTTGTGAGAAAAGGTATCGGCGCTGTTGGTGGGATGAGAGAAGGGCACAACTTGCCACCTGCATGCCTGAAGAAGCTCCACCATGCTAGGCAGAAGAGCTGTGCCGAGCTGGGCCTAAAGCAAGTATTACAATTACTTAACTGCCTAAAAGCTTTATTATCATTTGATAGTATGCTCCTTTATGATGGCAATACTTGTGCGGTGTCAGGAGATCGTCCGTTACTAGGTCAGCACTTTATGTTGGGGTATAACTATCCTAGGGGCTTGCACAAGTGGTGATATGTACAGGAAGGATCATAATATTGAGAGCAAACATAATGTGGAAGATGAATGAGAACGCTGTGAAGCAAAGGGATGGTAGTAGGAGTCATGATGGAGAGACACTTTAGACCATTTCAGCAAAGTATCTTGTTTTATAGCTGGAAACTTTGGAAGTATATCCTGCTGCTGCTCTTAGTGTGCCTGGCTATCTTGACATGGTTGAGATGTAAGAACACGGAGACTGTTGCTACTCCTGTCATGTTTGAGATCGCTATTGAGGAATATACTAACCCGTTCTCGTGACAGATCTCAAGAGAATGCCATACAGCTAGAAGGGCTAGGCAAACTAGGAGGACTCATGGCTTAGAAATGATCCTTGCAGTCAGGGGAAAGGTTGGCCTGTTCAGTGTGGTGTGGGAAGATTAGGAACTGCCTGGAACAATCTGTAAGTACATGAGATGCTTGATACCAAAGGACTTTTTTAATCTATTTGGCAAATACATGACAAAAGGTTAGAGAATGAAGTCAGAAAAGTTCAATATGCCAATACCACCCATTAATTCAAAGTAGTCAGAATAATTAACTGGGATACGTTAACATGATGGAGAGGCACAAGATCGTCAGTAGGCCTTTAGTTCAGGCTAGATTGTTCTGTGAAAGGTAGACCCTAGCTACAAATTGTTAGACTTCTGCAGGACTCGCTAGGTAGTCTGTGGTCTGTGTCATGTAGAAGAGTGGGCACTGCTGATCCTTGATATGTAAGACTGAAATAGCTTTGCAGAACTGAAGACTGTAGTTCTTTCTGTAGAAGAAAAGCGGAAAGTAAGTGTGAGGGCAGGTTATACTTCTCTGTGAACATTATAGGCTCCATTCCCATAGCTTTTGCTGATTGTTGTGTAGGCTGCAGTACAATGCCTAGAAAGCCTCTAGGCATTGTATATTTATCACCATCACTGATGATAAGTGACAACTAAAACTGATATGCTAACTAGAGTGCTAATTGTTTAAGCTTTTGATGTATAATCAAGGTTGGTTAATAAAACAGTGCCGAGTGTAATCTGTCTCTGTTTGCTACAGTTCTTGAAGACTAAAAATTGTTGGGTGTTATCTCTCCTCTTTGTTTCACTACGTTATGTAAGTTAATCTGTGTTGTTTTTTCCTAGGCATCAACCTATCTGAAAAACAAGTGTCTAGGCACAAAAAACATTAGCGATGGAAAGCAACTACTGCATATTGTCAAACTTCGCCCTACAAGTATCTTATAAAATTGCCTTTTTGAAAGCATAACTTGAATTAAAAGAAAAGCAAACAGTAGCTTTAACAATTGCTTGGGCAGAAAGCAATCTGGTTGCCTATATGTATTCGATAAAACAAGGCCACAGATGAACTTGAAACTGTGTGTGTTTATAGCTCAATATGCCCTGGAATTGTACCTGCTCTCATACAATGATGACCGTTTGGAGAAAGGTTTTGATTAGTTAGTATCTATTTGGTCTTTATTTCTCATATTTGCAGTCAGTCTTTGCTAAATCTACCGTCCTGGGGTATTTTTCTATCGCCAAGAAATTGGCTTGGATGATGTGAGCATTTTTACTTGCTTTTTTTTTCCTGTGTATATGGTGTCTCTGTCAGGAAGTTAATTTTTTAAAAGGGAGAAGCTCGATACGTTTCATCTCAGTATAATATTTCGAGATTGTGGGTTCTGCTCTCAGTCAACAGCAAGAATGACTTCAGAGATTATCATAATCGATGCATGTATTGCCTTGACAGTGGCACCTTTGTATATTAGCAGGCATAGCGTGAGTGTTTTGTTGCACATAGTATTGTTGCTTTTTCGTGGCAGGTGTCTAGTAATGGACTTGCATCTAAGCATAAGCCTTATCTTAAGAGGGTGGTAGAAATAAGGCTCTCTTTGAATCATGGTTAAGGACTTTGTTTTCTCAGTGTCTGTTCTAGCCATGTGACTTTCCCCATCTTTTTTTCTGTTATCTTGTTGATCAGTGAGGAAATTAAGGGGACAAAGCCAAAGATGTTCTCTTATCTCCCACCCAATAAAATACTGACATACAATAGTACACGTATTGTTACGTGTGGCCTGAGGAGAGTTATGACTGTATAGTGAAATTGGCTTTTGGAGTTAAAGCAACCACCAGCAAAAATTAGTTATGTGTGCTGGACGTTGCAGTGATGGATCAAATATGTGTTGAACTGATTATTAGACTGCGCGGCTGTCTATAAATAAAATACTTTTTAAAATGTTCTTAAAAATTTGAGTGTATCAGATGTTAAGCATGCTTTGATTTGTTCCAGTAGCCGGATCGAGCTGGGAGATGTGACGCCACACAACATTAAGCAGCTGAAGAGGCTAAACCAGGTCATTTTTCCTGTCAGCTACAATGACAAGTTCTACAAGGATGTACTGGAGGTTGGCGAACTAGCCAAATTAGGTACAAATGTTCTTGCCAGTAACTGTGGGCTATGGTGGCAGAAATGCTTATCAATGCAATCCTTAATGGTTTTGAGTAATAGATCCTTCTATTTTGTTGTTTTACATAATGAAAAGTAACTGGAAACCCCAGAAAGAGCTGCAGTCCCAAGCTTGAAGTGTTTGTATTCTAAATAGATTCCATTTTACTGGAAATAGGTCTGTTCTCTAAGTTTCCAGTTGTGATAGAGATGTGTGCTGCCAGCTTACATCCTTAAGTCTGGTTGAGTTGAGTTGAACTCTAATAAGCCAATTGCTTACCACTGGAAACTTCACTCATAAAATGTCGGCCATGATCTGTGATTTTTATCTGGTACAGAAGAATCAGCAACAGGGAAGAAAAGAAGATCTAGGGCATAAATGAAGGACTTGTACATACAGTTTGAGACTTGTGACTAATAACACTTTATTGTTTCCCTCCCTGGCAGCCTATTTCAATGATATTGCGGTGGGAGCAGTGTGCTGTAGGGTGGATCACTCCCAGAATCAGAAGAGACTGTACATCATGACACTTGGATGCCTGGCACCATACCGAAGGCTAGGAATAGGTAAGAAGGAGCTTCTTTTGTATCCGAGTCATCAAAGAAACCTCATTGTTATGCAGCCTTCTAAATACCCTTTCAGAGTTTTCTGCTGTTTTAAGCAAGAGCATCTTAACACTTTCAGAACACTGATCCCTTCTTCAGAAGGGCCTTTGACGAAAGAATATGAGTTGATACGCTTATGTTTTACTGCCTTTCCAAAGTGGACTTTTTTGTAGGACTTTCTAATTCAGGATTTCACAAATTCTTTTAATCCTAATCATGTTATCAGCCTGTGGTGTAAATAATTTGCTTTTATAGATGTGAAAACTAAAGCGCAGAGATATGAAATAACTTATCAGAGGTATGTAGCCAGAGTGCAACACAAGTAGAAGGAAAAACATTGATGTCCTTAATCAGATTACTTAACCCTTCAAAATAATGTTCTTTTTCTAATTTTTACTTATTTTAGCTTTTCCATTACTAGTAATTGCTGCTTGCAGGTGGTGCCTGTTTTCTACCTATATCACAATGTATAGTTTTCTCACTGTTGCAAATCCATAGGTCAAGATAATCGAGACCTTACAGTAATCTATTTGCTTTGGACAAACTGGAAGCAAAAGTTAACTTTTTCTGATAAAGAGCTAGTAAAAGTATTTGAACTAAACTTAACAATGTTGTCACTAATTTATACATTGTTTTGACCATATTGTGAGCTGAGTTTGAGACCTTGAAGCTAGCATTTAGATAAGGTGCTTTATATGTATGCTTTTGGTTTGCATAAAAAATTAAGTTTTGCGAGCAGTCAGAGAGATGAGAAGTATAAATAGACCATATTTGATTTGCATTTGTTTCAGTAAACTGTCTTCCTACGTGCACCAGCGTAGAAAAATCGTACAATGATTAAAGAATTGGTTTATTAAAATTCAGGGTTATTTGAAGTCTTTTCAAGAGATCTCGCGAAAAAGCTGTTCTAAGAACCTTTCCTGTAAATTTAAAGGTATCTCCTGTTTACAGTAATGACTTTGCAAAGTGTCTTCCTTGCACCTAATATTTTTGCAGTTCTAATTTGCTAGCTAAATTTTAATGCTCACAGATGACATCTTCAAACTAAATTTTATTTTCTGGTTTTAGAGTGTAGTATGAATGCCCTCAGCACATACTCTTGTCATTTTAGCCTGCCTACTGTTACCTGCCTCTGCTTAAGAAAGCACTTAGTAAGTACGTACTTGATTGTGCACTTTTGGTTTTGTTAAGTAACTCTTTTTTCTTTTGGCAGGAACTAAAATGTTGAATCATGTCTTAAACATCTGTGAAAAAGATGGCACTTTTGACAACATCTATCTGTAAGTAAATGACTTGCGCTCATGCGTTTTGGGAGTGATGCCAGAGGCATATTTGGGAGCAAAGGGAGGAGGACACAAAAGCCTTTTAGCATCAATTTCAGTGGGGTCATGGGTCAAAAAAACACCTTGTCTTGTAAGTACTGTAGGGAAGCCAGAGATTGCATTATGGGCTTGTGGTGCATTGCTGAGAAAACTAAGTTTGCCTGCTTTAAGAAGAGCTTCTGTAAATCTGCTGAATTTGAAAGCAGTTGAATTTGAAACTAATGATCAAAAGCAGGATTACACTACATGTTTGAAGATTTTCTTTTTCTTTTGTAGTCAATTTTTTTTTTCTTTTAACCATACAGTGTTCTCCTCAGAATGGAAAATACTGCAAATCTTTTATGTAGTTTTGCTGCATTTACTGTGTCTTTTGTGACACTAATGTGTGGGTTAGAGCATCAGATCAAATGTGTTTCCAAACACTCTAGGTTTACATTCAGGCCCTACTGCTTATTCCCGTTCTTGTACTATGCCAAGTCAGCTGTTTGTGCAGCAATATAATAAACTGGGTCAATGGACCTGATCTAGTGGGGGAAGTGGGTTTTGTTTTTTGGTTCTGAGTGTTTTTTTTTTTTTAAGTCAGCTACATGGCTGTTTGAGCTCTTGGGGTGGTGCAGAGATGAGAAAAAGCACTAGCAGAGAGGACAGGGCTGCTTAAAGAGGTGCCACCATCCTAATAGATCCCTGTGGAACAAACTAGAGCCTGAAATCCATAGCAGCTAAAGCTGATGTAAGTGAGAAATGTTACAGCTTTGTTTCCCCTCTCTGCTGGCTACGTACTTCTGCCTCTTCCTGTGCGCTGATGCCTACGTGATTACCTAGTGAGTTGGCTCAGTTTTGGGCCAGATCACTTCTCTGAGCCAGCTTCCTTCCTTGTCCCCCACTCCCTAGTTATACCAGTAGAAGTAGGGTGCGCTGGTATGGACAGGCCCACAGCAGCTATGGCTTGGCTTAACTTACGCTGCGATAGAACTGCACCCTGAACTCTGGACTTTTGTAAGATGCTTAGTGAGGAGCATTTCATAGGAGCGTTGATATCACTAGATAGTGACTTGCTCCTCAAACTTAGTCCTGCTCTGGCAGGGAGGTGAAAATTCTTCCATGTTCTCTGCTGTCATAGCTTTGTGCCCTCTCTGTGTGAGAGGGAGAAGTATTTAGCAGAGGAGTTTGATTAAAGCTGCTCTTGGATTGTATTCCTGCTCTCTTCCCTCAGAAGAAGTGGTGATGAACTCTTTGATGCTTGTTAATTGGCACATCCTTTTCTCCTGGCTTTTGCACACTACTGTCTACACAGTGGAAGAGTCGTTTGCCGGTTTTAATGCAAAAAACGGGTCCTGCATAATCTTTCCTTCCCCTTACCAGAGTAGGATTCTAGGGTGACAGTCGGTAGCTCCTGGAGTTGGGCGTAACCAAACTTGTTAGTGACCTGTTGTTTTTTTTGCTACATCTGTTGCTTGCATATCTACAAACTGAACATAATATCACAGAAGGGTTGAGGTAGGAAGGGACCTCTGGAGATCATGCAGTCCAACCCCCCTGCTCAAGCAGGGTCCTCTAGAGCGTGTTTCCCAGGATTGCGTCCAGGCGGCTTTTGAATATCTCCAGGGAAGGGGACTCCACAGCCTCTCTGGGCAGCCTGTTCCAGTGCTCAGTCCCCCTCACAGGAAAGAAGTTTTTCCTCATGTTCAGATGGATATGCTGCTTAGGCATGTAATTTGGTGTCACTGGCTAAATTTGTCATTACTGTGAAGTTCCCTTTTAGGTATTTGGTCTTTATCAGGCTTAACGCTAAGCCTGATTTTGTTTTGTTCTGCTGTTACTTCTGGAGTTGCCTTGGTTCTATGGTTATTTTATGTAGCATGTTGTCATGACAGAATGATTCATAGATTTGTGTAGTGTTCACTGAATTTTGGGAGCCTGTAATGAATGCTTGTTGCTGAGCTAAACTTCTTTTTTTTTTTTGCTAGAACTTGTGAAAGTAAATTACCTAGTCACTCAGAGTGAAGAACTCATAGCTGTTTGTTTTGGAGGCCTTGAAACTCTTGGAATATGCTAGCAAGATCTGTAAAACTCTAGGGAACAAAAGGGGAAAGACTTTGTAAGTCCCTAGGGCTTCTTTGTGCTCCCATAGCCTTATGGGACGAGGGAGGGAGTAGCAATAAGCATGGAGTTAAAATCATTTCAAGAAGCATGTTAAAACCATCGGCAGTATTGTGTTGCAGTACGTATGGTAGGGATCATCACTCAGCCTACTGTTTTAGATCATCTGAGGAAGGTTACTACAGGAAGTTAAAAATTGACTCTGCAGTGAAACTAGGTTATATATTTCCACAAAATATCTGTGATTTCCAGATTAAGAAAAGTTGAAATTATTGAGCTTGTAACACTTCAGGCTCTCTGCTATGTATGTTCCTTAAAATAGCTTCACTGAGGGAAATGCTTGCCCTTTCTTCTCAGAATGATTGCCAGAGGCCGTTTGGGAACTGTGTGTTAGCTCAGGATTAAGTTGAGAAGACCCAAATTGCCAGTCTGGAGCTATAAAAGCTACGCCATTGTTCCTGTCTCTGTCCAGATAGCTCCTTTTCTTATCTTGCTTGTACTCTTTATCCTTTGACAATTCTGAGTGTGGAGGCAGCATGTTATACCACAGAAAGTTCTGATATCTGTCTCTGTATCCTCCTTTTTGTCCTAGGCACGTCCAGATCAGCAATGAGTCAGCAATTGACTTCTACAGAAAGTTTGGCTTTGAGATCATTGAGACGAAGAAAAACTACTACAAGAGGATAGAGCCAGCAGATGCTCATGTGCTGCAGAAAAACCTCAAAGCCCCTTGTCTTGGCCAGAACGCAGATGTGCAAAAGACCGACAACTGAACAAAACCCCGACGAACACTTTCTTGCACTTGCTTGTCGCCAAATAAGGAAAGAGAGGCCTATTGTTTTTTTGTTGTTTTCTCCCCTTCATCCTCCTCATTTTTTTTTCTTGACCTCTCTCCAACAAAATGTTATGCTTCTTCCAAGGATTGTCCGATCATGTTTGGGGTTTTTTAGCTCTCCTTCTTTCTGTTTTTGTTGGGGTGGGAAGAGGTGTGCAGATCTCTTTAGTTTGAGGTGTGGAGGGCTTGAGCAGGTTTTCCTAGTGACAAGTTTCCATCAGAGAATTTTCTCTTTCAGGAAGCAGAATGTAAATCTGGGAAGCGAAAGGAAAAGCAATATCTTGTCCTTTGACTCCTACATTATTATTTTTCTTTTTATAACCTACAGGGTACTTTAGCACCCCCCCACACACACCTTTGAATGTTACTTCAGTAATTCCCGTTCTTCCTCTTGATTCCCCCACCTCAAAAAAGTATATTTAGTTCTTTCCAATATTTTTGAGTATGGCTTTTTCCTCCATCTTTTGCTGAGAAGGGCAGGCTACTTTACCATGCCTTTTCACTCTGCCTGGGCTGATCTTTTGAATGCTTTTTTAAGTACTCCTCACCCAAGCTGGTGCTACGTTTCTTGACTGAGTGAGAAGAGGGTTCAGAGGGGTCTTTATGGTTTTCCTTATTTTCATTTACCCAACTGCCAGCAAACTTCTGATAGAGTAAGAGTTTGAGCTGGTGTTGGCAAGAGTCACCTTATAAAAATATCAATCTTGAGGAAAGATCCTTGTTTTTAAAAAAAAAAAAATGGATGAAATGCTGTAGGGCTCATCAAGAGTCAGTTTTATCTGTGTTGTTGGGATAGGAACAGTGGCTGTGACCATTTTACCTACTCTGATCACATAAGTGAGCACCTGTCTCCAGATAAATTTTGCTACAGGTGCTAAATCTGTGGTGACAAATCTAAGATGAGGCACGGGTTGAGGAAACCAGGCAGCAAGACCGAGAAGGCAAACAAGAATCTGACCCTAATTGCATAACTTTGCAGGGGTCTTCTGGATTTGCTTGGGATCTGCTTGGCTTGCTGTGTTTATATGCTCCTTAGGGAGGAAGTGGTTAAGAACTGCATGTTTTACTCTTTGAAGACTCTTTTTTTTCTTCTTTTTTTTTTCTTCCCCCCTTCCTCCTTTAAATGGTAATGATGCAGTTCTCCTCTTGAGAGGGTGTTCCATGAAGCACCAGAGAAAGCAGCATTTACTAGGTTTTATGAGTTTGGAAAAACAGGCTGACTGGCTTCTTCCTAGTACTGTAATCTCAAAGCTACAGTAAATTCTACTAAGCTCTGCTTTGCATCCTTTCATGCTTTATTTGCATGAATATCAGTGCTCCTTTCTATGCACTGTTGCCAGCAATTTTATGTATGCCAATACAAATACCAACTTGAGCTTGGACTCTCCTCTCCAAGCATCTGGGAAAGTGCACTGAACTGAGACAACATCAACCTGCCCCATCCCCCAAATAGATATTAAACTGCATTCCTTTCCTGTTAATGTTTTTTAAAGTTTAAATCTACATCTTGAACTCATCTGCTTTGAAAGCCTCCAACCTATAGTGCACATTGCAGCATACATCTTGTTAGCAGGTGCTGTCCAGTCATTCTACCGTGACTTGGGAACCAAGGATTTCAAGATGGGAGTTGTGCATGACACAAGGGAGGGTACCCCTCATTCTGTATTATGCAGCCTTTGATACCTGAGGGGTGACTAAACAAGCTACTCTAGAATTACTACCACTTTCCCAGAGGTGTGTAGTGTTTTTTGGAGTGCATCTTGACAGACCTATGCTGAAAAATGGCTACTCTATTTGCTGGGTTTGCACTAATTGAGTCTTGGTGATGGGTAGATTTCTAACAACAAAAGCCTCTCTGCATGGCCTGAGCACCTGTGTTTGCAACACTCTGTAGCAGACTCTGGCTAGAAAGACAGAAACAGTTTCCTAGGCCAGAGTACCTAGTTTTGAGAAAAACTTATTTTAGCGCTGCTAGGACATGCCTGCACTGGTTATGTTGGCAGTCCCAGCATATTTCTAGAAGGGGATATATTGAAGCACAAGTAGCTCATCATATGCCAACATAGTTTCCCTGGCCATCTGTAGACTGAACCAAGAGGAATATGTGGAGGGAGATAGTATTGTATTTGAGGATATTTGTGCAGCACAGCTGTAACTCAGACCATAGCTGCCTCTGGTGCCAAGCAAAGTGCTCTTCATTCTTCTAGAACTAAGTGGTAAGTGTTTGGGTTGGGTAGGTGGGTGTGGGGATATGAACTCTTAGGATTTGCTGTTGTTGTACGCTTCCACAAATCAGTGTGTTTCACAGACAGTTTTTCTTCAGGTTTAAAAGTATGAGTCTGATGTCTGAATTTACTTGGATTAACCTTTGTTTCTGTCTCTTTTTGCTTTGGGCTGCCATCATTCTATGAATGTATCCCTGAAAACAATTCTTAGAACTCCTATTCCATGGCAAACCTGCCTCGGTGTAACTTCTAAGAGAGTATTTTGTAGGCGGTGGAAGGGAGAGCAACCACAAATCTAAGACTCCTTTTCCCAGGCTATTAATCCTGGATAACGGTTGTTGAATCTTGAATACAAGGTTTAATCTAAATCTCTTACAAAGCTATGTCCCTGTCCATGGATAAGGGAGAGTGAAGGTCAGTAGTTCTGAATGACAAACAGTTGTATTTTATTAGTATATCGACCGTATTGGGTGTGGGAGGAGAACACTGTATCTTAGTACTGTTATCTGAAGACACAGAAGTTGTGTGAAGTATGAGATTACTGCAGAGAACTTCTGTTACTTTGTATGTTGCTGCAGCAGGACCTCCTTCTAGCTTGAAAATAACAACTTATGAACAACAAAATTTTTAAAAAGTTGGGAATTTCAATAGAGAAAAAAAAAACAAAAAAAAACCACCAGCACTTCCTCTTCTGGATGAACATCTAGCAAGAAAAATGTATGTTGACTAACAGCTTTAGAGTGTAAATTGTGTATATACGAGTTATTCCTGAATCTCTGCAACTGGTTTTGTCGTATATCGGTTGATGTATGAAGATATTGCCTACAAAGACTCCTAGTAGAGGAAACCGTGGTACAGGGGAAAAAGAATCATCCAGGAGAGATATCCCTCATTTTTTGGGAGGGGGAAGGGAGAGAATTTATTTTGTGTATACAGAAACTGGCTGAGTTTACGTGATGCAGCTAATGGTTAAACCTGCCAATTAAATATGACATACTGTTACAACTGAAACAAACTTAACGTGATATTTTGTCAATTCTTGATGGTGCCCTGTGATGTCTAGTAAAAATTGGATCCCCAAAACACGCATTGTTATATTCTCCCCCATGTTGTAATCCAGGGTCAGCTGCTATGCACAAAGTTTATGTTTTGTAAAGTGTTTGCTGACTTGGATGTTTCTTCTGAATCTGCAACTGCTTCCTAATTAAACTGACCAAGACCACCCCCGGTCTCATTGAGTTAAGATTTAGTCAGAGGTATGCTGTATGCAGTTGACAGATGCATTCTCAATGTTACAAGTTCAGTTGCAGGGGGAGCAAATTATTTACAAAGAAGACGGTCCATTTTTAATCTATATCATTGCCCTTGTTGTACATCAGGAGCATGTTTTTGTTTTTCTCAAACTCTTTAGAAATACCGTTCAGAATAAACGTGCACTATTTGAGTTATGTCATCCATGACTTGTGTGCATTTTTTGCAGTCCATCTGTTTCCCCCTGAAATCAGTTGTAGGATATTCATCAGGTGCTTCACAAACTGTGTAACTGATATTTCTAACGTGAGTTGGGCAGCTGTGTGACGAATGCTATGTGCATCTGATGACTGAGGAAAGTGGCATTTCTGAAGTCGTGTGCCTTTTCTCAGAAATCCTCAGCCTTTTGTGGGTGGGGGGAGAGGGGAACAGGAATTATCCTGTAGTATTTTCACATCAAATAATGAGTGATCTTGAAACAAACAGACCAGGCATCATGAACTCGGTGTTTTAGGTTTTATAAGTTAAATGTTTAAAAGTACTCAAATTAATTGCTAGCTATTGAAAACAGCCTTTGAAAAACTGCTCTATTCCATACCTATAAAAGTAACTGGATTTAAAATGCAGTGAGTGTTCTTCCTTAATGACTTTTCTCAGTAAGATTCTTAAGGTGAGAGAAAAGATGAGTTTTACTTAACTATTCCAGTCCCTTCTGCTCTTAGAGCCATTCTTTGTCTGTAGTGTCTTTCTGCTCATCTTTCCTGCTTTGAGGTAAAGTGTCACTTAGGTGATAAACTTTCACCGTGATATAGCTTATGGGGAAAAAATAAATTTCTATAGCATATCTGCTTATTTAATTTGCCCTGAAAGGTGCTTTGTCAGTAGATGGAGTCACTGCGTTCCTCAGGACAGCATGCAAAAGCAAAGCTCAGACTCTGAAGACTCCACTGTTGTTGAGCTGCTGCTACCGGCTGCCTCCCCTGACCTCTGCTGGAGGACCTGGAAGCCACAGAGGGAGACGTTTTATCAGGAGTACAAACTTCATCATTTCAGCCTTGTCAGCAGCTGCAAAGCTGGAGAACTTTTGCTATACTTCCAACTGCTGCAGCTGTTCTCCATACCACTCTGTTTTGGATTTCTACCCTGTTTCTTTCCCTCTCTGCTCTCATCCCGGTCACCTCTTTAATCAGCCTGTAGACTTTTAGTCTCTTCAGTTATTCCTTTACAGCAAAGCCAGCTAATACCTCTGATATCTGTATTTCCTTCTCCAAAGCTTTCCTGGTTCTACTGCATCTTTTCAAGATGAGCAGTTCCATTCCCCTCGCTGTATTCAATGCTTGGGTGTTTACAGGGACCCTGTAACAACTTGTGTTGTTCTGTAATCTTGTAATTCTAACACTTTTTTGTTATTGAGATGATGCATTTACAGAACCCCGGGATCTCATGACTGAGTGGTAAGTCAGCTCATGCTTTTTACGTGTAAAAACTTTTTCCCTGCTACGTACATCACTTTATTTACCAATGCTGGATTTAATCTGCTGCTAACATTGCCCAGTCACTCGATGTTGGAAGGTTCACCTGTCATTCCTCATTTTTATTACCTTGACTAACTTGATATCCCCAGCAAACTCTCACCTCACTCTCTGCTCGCTTTTTAAGACAGTGTTGAACAATATGGACCCCGGCATAGCTCTCAAACTCCATTGCTAACCTCTCTCTAGTGTGAGAACTGATTGTTTATTCCATACCCTATGATTTCTGTCTTTTAATCATTTCTCTGTCATTGCAAAGATGTTTCTGCTGATCCCATGGCGGCTTAGATTATTTAAGAGCTTTTTGGATAGGGGTCTTACTTTAGGGTTCATTTGAAGTTCTTTTGGACATCCACCAAACAGCTCTGCATTGTCCATGGGCTAATCAAGTCTTCCAAATAATTAAGTGGCTTGGTGAGGCAGGACCTTTCCTTGCAAAAGCACTGTTAGTTGCCATAACATGCAGAAAGTTTTTGTTGGAGCACTTCCTCACTTCAGGTGAGCTGTCAGCTGAGCATTGCTGATCCTTGCAAAATAACTTCTCACTCTGTGGGGTTCCCAAAACCTATTAAATCCATTTAGTCAGATACTTTGTATGGGATATTTGATTGTTGCTCACTGTTGCCCTTTGTCCTTTTCTCTTGCCATATGGAGACGTTCATCAAGCAGTACGGAAAGGTTTTTTATTTTGGGTTTTTTTTCCTCACTCCTCTCCTCCCCCCAAATATCTACTGAATTTCTACCTTTTGTTTATTTTTTCTTTTCCTTTTGTTTAAAGGCTTTGTGACAACACTGTCTCAAGCCCTCTAGACAGCTAAGTGAAGTTACCAGGCTTTTTTCACTGGCTTCCACATGTATGACCCATGGTCCAAGAAACTTCCACACCTGGGGGAAGGGCCCTGATCTGTATTCTCATATCCTTTTTGTTGGCTACCGTGCCACATCATACAGACTTCCGTCCTTACTGTATGCTAAATTATTGAATCCAAACCTGTAATACAGTTAAGTATTATGCCTGCATTTTAAAAATGGATTTAAGTTGTTCTTGCTTAAGGTCATTTAAAATAGAGCTGGAGAAACACCTCCCTTTCACCTGTCACACAGGCAGCAAATCTTCATCTCATCTACTCAATGTGAAGTTTTTATGAATATATGTGTGAAAAATGTTTGCTTTTTTAATTAACTCACTATATAGGTGCTAGCCTACATTCCCTACCAGAATCCCACGTCTGCTGTTCAGCAATTACCTGTTTCACGTCTGATTTAACCAGTGAGTTTTTGCCTGGCACTAGATTCTTGCTACTGTCTTTCAAACATTGAACGCTGTACTGGCACTGTGAAGATTACAAGTACCAGATTACGAACTCGAACGCTCTAGAGCACAATAAGGTGCAGAAAGATAGAGCTTGCTTTTCCTGATTTGGACAGGGGTGCCTCTTTGCAGAAAATTTTAATTTAGAAAGGACAATAAGGATATAAACTTTTTTAAAAACAACAGTAATAATAAAAGGAACTCTAACAATATACAGTGGCATAATATTGAGTGGCATGGCACAGGTATTTCAGGTTTCACAGGTCATCTGCTTTGTGCTACGTCAGAACTAAAAAACAAATAGGGGAAGGGGAAAAAGTATGTGTATGCTTGTGCTTTACATGCCGAAGCTGCTGTTCACAGTAACTTCAGCGTTTCGCTGCAAAAAGAACTGACACCTGAAATTTCCTCACGGTCAGCAAATGCCTCCCCCGCTTCAGAAAGTATCGTCAGCTGCAAGGTTAGTTTGTAAGCAGTGGCAATTCGAAATGAAATGCTGCTGCAAAGCAAAGCAAAACCCCAATTTCTGGCACGACTCATCGCAGCAGCAGCAGCGCTCTCGGGCACCACTTCTGAACCGCGTCCCTGCCACCGTGGTATGTCACGTTTTTGGGCGAGCAGACGGACGCGAGCCGCTCCCCGCGCGGAGGCCTGGCCACTCTTAACGGATCCGCGGAGGGTGTGGAACAAATTTGAGAAAAATTCCTGGGAGGGGGACAACAAAAACGAAGCTCTCGAGGCTGGAAAGTGAGAGAGGGCCGGTAACTCAACCACAGACGCGCCAGCGCCGGGGCGGGGCCGCTTCCGGCGGGGGCGGGGCGAAAGGGCGGGGTGGGCGTGGCCTCCACCACCACACGGTT